TATGATAAGACGAGAGCATTGAGGACAGCATCTTCCAGCGTCTCATTGCAAAGCAACTTTTTGACGTCTTCGCCGACTTTCCACATTCGTTATAGATTATTGCAGAATAGTCCAATGCCCTTTTCTAGTGCAATTCCGTTCCATTTTCATTTTCAGGATTTAGTCGACAATTTGGATCTTATCTTTAGCACACAGGTGACGTCTTTGAATTTAAAATGAAACATATTTGTCTCTGACTTTCGCTGACATAAGGAAATCCAAATATTATCTCGGTTACTTTTCATTTGAATTAGCTTTGCATCGGTATATATATATATATATATATATATATATATATATATATATATATATATATATATATACATATATATATATATATATATACATATACATACACATATATATGTATGTATGTATGTATGTATGTATGTATGTATATGTGTTTATATATATGCATGTATGTTTGTTTATTTATATGTATGTATATATATGTGTGTATCTATATATGATATGTATGTATGATATATATGTATATATATGTGTGTCTGTCTGTATGTATATATATTATATATGTATATATATATGTGTGTATGTATGTATACATACACATACATATATATGTAATATGTAATATCACACACACACACACACACATATATACAAATTGTATATATATGTATTTTGTTTTCCCAATACATAACAAGTATACAACTGTCTGTATCTTTCGATACAGACAGTTGTAATATTAAGATGATTAAAATAGATAAGAAAGAAAGGAATGAACAAATGGAAATTGCTCTCCTAAATTACTAGGTCTTCGTGTTCAGGGTGACCGCATGAGGACGATATCAACAGCGGCGCGTCATCAATTAAAATGCAATTATAATGTGATCGCGTGACCTAATTCCAGTGTCCCGCTTATAGGGTAAATACTTTCGTGATACGTGAAAAGATTACGTAGTTGACGTTTAAATCTTCGAAATCAGGTTATCTCTACGAAATCTTGGGTGTTAAAGGGAACTGACTGGGCGTTATTCGGGCTCCAGTGCCTAAGGTTTTCCGCCGACTCTGTGTCTACGCTTATCTGCTTACGAAGTTTTCCGGACGTAATTGTTCTCATTGGCTGAAGACGGTGAAGACTGTGGTTGCGGCAGCTCCCTTTAGAAGGAATTTCGTTATTTGTGGCGTGGGATGTGGCTAGAAGATGAAACTTGTTGAATTAAACGATGCTCTCGACCTCGGTCCTAGGAATCCTTCGTGCATTGTTAATCCCTTTCCATTGATGCTTACTTGACAAACGGAATTCTGTAGCGTGGTTTAATGTGAAATGGTTTTACAGGTTTTTAGGATTAAAATCCAGGGAGAGGATTTCCAAAAATGCCTTAGTTTATTTAATGAAGTCATGCGGTATTTTAATCTATTTTAATTCTGAGTCTGCTTGTTGACGAGGCGGATGATTATGAATGAAAATGATTAGTTAGGGTACTCTACTATGTAATTTCCCCTGAAATCGTAGGGCCTGGTTTGGGAAGTTTATTTTCTCAGCTCAAGGATAAAACCTGTGTATATTTTTAATTCCGGAACTTTTTCATCAGTTATTTGCCATTCAGAATTTTTTTTCTTTATTTTTATCATCATCATCCTCATCCTCCTCCTCATCCTCCTCATCCTCATCATCATCATCCTCATCATCCTCATCATCCTCATCCTCATCCTCATCATGAATAGCGAAAGTTCGGAGAAAGTGTTTCCTCCCCGTAAGGACAGTGATATTACGTAATAAAGCCGTACAGACACGAGGTCCCTTGTCCCTAGCGCCGAAAAGACGAAAGAAAAACAGCAAAATAGTATTTGTACTTCCGTACTCTGCAACCCGTGGCGAAATCTGGAAGAATCGGAGTGAGCGAAGTAGGGTTTTCTTTAGGGGGTGAGGGGGGGGGGGTTAAAGGGTGAATGCCGTACACGCGACAGATATCGAGCGTGGCGGCAGGGGCCCTCTTTCAGCGCGGGCTGAAATATAATAGGCCTAGTAGGTTTTCGGCGAAGTTTGTTTTTAACGTTTATGATGTATAGATATATATAGTTATAATATATATATTGTATATGATATTTATATAATATACATATATATATATGTATACATATATACACAGATTAGGGAAGGCGCTTTGTTGAAAGATATATTTTCGTTGATACGTCTGGCATTAGGCCTATTCATGATTGTTAAAGAAAAATGATGTTTAGAGATGTGTATTTTTGAAAATAAAAGTCCCAAGGGGGGTAATAGATTTCATGAAAATCCTTTCATTGGTAAAGGAGAGTGTGACTTTGAGCCATCCCTTCCCCTCACCTTGCCTCTTCCTACTTTTCTTTCCCATTTTTTTATACACGACTATTCTCTATCCTTCTGCCTCTCGTTCCTCCATTCTTCTTCCCTCTTCTGTCCCTCTCCTTTCCCCCTCCTTCCCTACTTCTCTCCTTTTTCTCTCTATCCCTCCCGCTCTCTTGTTCCACCCCTCGTAGCCTCCTCCTTCCCCTACCTCTTTTCCTCTCTCCTTTGCTTTCTTTTACACCTCCCTCACCCGCTTATCCTTGTCCAGTTCCTCTTCCTCCCTCCCATTCTGCCCCCTCCTCCTCCCCCATTTCGTTCCCTCAGTTTCCTTAATATGCATCAATTTCGTCTTTTTTCTCTCTCGGTCCTCCTCACTTTATCCATCTCCTATACCTCTCCCTTCTCTCATTCCCTATCCCTCCCTCTTTTTCCTTTCTCCCTCTCCCCTTTTAACCCCCCCCCCCCCTCTGTCTCAACCATCCGCCCGCCCACCTTGGTTTATGTTGGGAATCCAGCAAACCGGTTGATGTAGTCTATGTTCAGTCAGTAGCCCCATCGTCTTTTTGTTCTTTTTTTACTGATACAGATTGTAGTGGATTGAGCCTTACGTCAAAATTATGCTGTTGGAATTTTCTCTGAGCCACATAACAGGAAAATTCTTTGACGTTCCATTAGTCACAGCAGGAAAATTCTCTAGCCTGTGCTAGTTCTGACAAGGGGTCGTGAAGGGCTTCGGTGTCTTGAGGGAGTCGTCCTTGCGGGAAAGAGCAACATGATGGCCTGACGCCATATTCTTCGAACTCACGTATCGCATTCCCGCGTCGCGCCAATATAAGTAATTACTTATATTATGCTCTTGCCCGTCATGTGGTGGATTCACTTTATTGCAAGTCCTCCTGGCATGATTGCAAACGGTAATGTGATGTAAAGTGCTTTTTTTGAGAAATAACTACTGAAGATGCTGAGGGTACGGAAACAGGTGGGAGGGAAAGTACTCGGGATGAAGGCGAGAATGGCGGTGGTGATGCAAATAGAAGCATAGATTACTTCATTACTTCTGAACTTCACGGAAATGGGCTGCGTGGTGCGAAGACTTGGCTATTTTAGTTGGATGATAAAGATACCTCATATCTCCGCAGATAATTTAAACGTCGTAGAAGTATGTGAGATTATCAGTGTCGCTGTAATTCGGTTGCCACGAGTTGGACTTCGGACAGATGATAAGAGATGCGCCGCGCCTTGCAGCCGCGACACATTGATATTGTTTGAAGTCCATGCCAAAGGGACGCAAACCACAAGGGAATTTCGATATCCGTTTGAAAGAGGATTCGACTCGGGGAGAAAATTTGGTTAGATTTAATGAATTCGCAGCTTAAACTACGATGCCCTGCCGTGGCATTACCATCACTATGCATCACAGTCCAGTGAACATCGGGAAATTTGTTAGGCGGACTCTTAGGCAGCGAAGTGATTCGGAATCTGGCAGAGTGGAGATGGATGGTTTTGTAAATGAAGGAAGTACAGCCTGGCTGGCTCTGCTTTGACACGTGGATGAATTTTCACAAATTCAGAACGTTAAAGTATCCAAGGCATTTACAAGATAATGACTGCCATGCCCAGCTTGTAGTGTGTTTGATTCATTCATATGTATACAGGATGTTTTTGTTTGCAGGCCACGCTTTATTTCTCTGCAGCCCAGGATCTCGATCAGGCGAGAGCCAAGATTGGTGGCCGCCCGCTACCAATTTAAGCATTTCTCTGGAAATGGATAGATAAAAAAACCCAAAGCAGTCAAACATCTCGACTTCCACTGTACAGTTTTGGTCGATCTACCAGACTTACGGAGGAGCCATTTATTGAACACATTGCTGGCTACTGAATCTCCTGATCCGACGTGAGGCCCTGCTGGAAAAGGTGCCAAGACGCGACTCAAAGCCACAGGAAAGCCCAGGTTTCACTGTCGCACACCAAGACCGGCAATCCAGGGCCTAACAGGCGCTTAACTTTCTACGGAGTACTCTTATCGAAAGCTTTCACTAGTCATTTCACCATCCATCTATCGACGTCTAAGTCTGATGGAAAAAGTCTAGGTAATCGGCATTGCTTAATCGGCAGTGTTTTCCGGTAATAGGATATCAAGAGAACGAGACGCAATATGTACTTTAGTGAGGAGTGAAACAGATTTTAAAATTCTCTTGGGTTTCACCTTCAGATCCACGCAGCCGTAGGGAAGGAAAGTGTGTAAGTGGAAAATAGAAACATGACACGTGTAGATTGTGATGGACTTCCTTTCCTCTCCGCATTTAGGAAGGCTGAAAGTATCTCGAGTGTAAGTGGCTGTCACTTCTAATTGTGTGGAGAAGTAGATGTTTAATGTAGAAATGGTATGGATGAGAGTGACTATCTTCATAGGCAAGAGGTAATTTAATGAGTCACAGACATCTCTTGCGCTGTGGAGACATTCATTCTCATTCATACCTTTCTATGTTGTTGCGGAGTTCAATATTTAAGCAGGCGTTGTAAACGTGCTGGGCGCTACCACGGGCAGTGAGGTGTATCGATTGGCACAAGTTTAGTTCAGTTAGCCGTCAACCGTCGCAGTGAAGGTAATCAGATTAGCGAGAATGCGCTTGCTTTAATACCGAGGTTTGCTGACTGTTGGTTTCCCGTTGCAGGTCGGCGGATGACTTGTTGATGAACACCATCTGCGGGACTCCCGAGTACATCGCCCCGGAGATGGTGGCCAGGCAACGCTACACCAACGCCGTGGACCTGTGGGCGGTGGGCGTGATCACCTACATCCTCCTGCGGGGCGACTTCCCCTTCTTTGACGCCGACAGGATCCGCCTCTATAAGAAGATCCTGAAGGGGAACTACAATCTGTCGGATGAGGTAAGGAGTGTGGCCTGCGCGGGGCGGGGGCAGGGGAGGCCGGTCAGGGGTCAGGCTCAGCTGCTTTTATTTTTTTCATAATTTAATTTTCATGTACCCGCACGCACACACACGCATGTGTCAGTTTGTGCGCGAGTTCGTGTACATGGTCTTGTTCAATCACATGCATCCACACACTCACACCCACACCTACCCCTACACGCACGCGCACACGCACACGCACGCACGCACGCACGCATATGAACACTTATGTACGCACATATGCATATGCATATATACATATGCACATCTGTATATACATATCTACTCTGTGAATTCTGAATTTCGAACTCTCCAAGACTTCCTCATCCGGCGAATTCGAAAAGTCACGATTTTAATTTCATTTCTGATTGTGGCTATATTCTTATTCAGGTGACTCGGTGTTAAGTAGGCGGTCGACAAGCGTGCATTAGAAACACGATCAATTGTTACTTTTGGCTTATTAAAAAAGGCAGAGTCGCGGCAGCCCGGTCGGGGTCCGGTGCTGGATCCCCGTGCAGGAAGTGGCAGCGAGGCGTGAGGACCAAGTTTACTGAAGATAATTATAAGATGTTATTAGTGTTCTTAATGCGGGTGAGAGGCGGCCTTTGTCCAGGTGGCAAGCAAGCGAGCTCAGAGGGCGCCGGGAGAGGTCAAGAAAAGACCGAATCTGCGGGGGACTGAGAGAAGTGCGAGCGAGGGAGACGTGGGTCACCCTTGTGCTCGGTGCCGAGAGACACGTTGGAGGAGAACGTCGGTCACGTGACCAAGTGGCGTAGGTCAGTGGCGTGGGTCTGACCACGTGGGCTGAGCATCATGCAGTGATTGGTGAGGCTCCTTTGATGTTGCAAGACGCAGGAGGACATCTTAGCTCATGTACCGCTTCTGATGATAGCACGAAAAAGTGTGAGAGTAATTTGACATCGCTTGGAGAGGTGGTCGCGAGATCTATAAGATGTATTTTCCTTTTATGGTGCTGACTGTCCCAAAATGCGATGCAGAGGGTTAGAAGTCAACGCGCGTGAAAAGTTCATAGATAGGCGGACCTGGTTGTTGAGGCTGCTGATACATTGCAAGGGACTTGTTTTCTCAGTGTATCATGATACTGACAGAGGACACGTTAACAGTACTGTACTCTCTCCGTTCAGGAAGGGACTTTGTGGTTGTCGTCAGCCGCACGACTAAGGTGACAAGATGTATTAGGAAGCGCAAAGGAGTTTCGCATGAATAAAACAGTACCTTAATGTAAAAATCGCAACAGAGGCAGAGGCGTAAAAATCGCCAGAGGCAAAAACGGTTGCCATAGGCAACCGTTCTTGCCTCTGGCGCGAATGACTTCATCACTTTCCATAGTGTGAGTCAAGGCCCTCCCGACTTTCGAGAAGCGGGCCGCAGTGTTTATGCCAGGGCCGAATGCGAGGGTCAGTCGGGCGAAGAGATTACGTGTAGTTACACGTGGTTTCGGAGGAAGCTTCACGTGGAGCAAGGATGGCGGAGCTGTGGCCATGCCCGGTGGTGCCCGATGGTCATCTAGTACTTGCGTTGTTTGCGCGCCTTCAGCCGTGCCATTCATTCAATCTCGGGCGACCTTGCGGGGGAGGGGTCGCTGGGAGGAAGTCGAGGTGAGGGGCGGCGGGGAAGCCGGCCGGCCCTGCGGCGAGTCGCACCTTCTGTCTGTCGGTTCGCCTGCTTGGCCCTTCGCGCCCTCCCTCGCCCCTCGGCTCGTGCCGGGCGCGCGGGTCGCGACCATTCGGCCGGGCCAGAAGCCGCATCGCAGTGTCCGCTGATGCTTCATAGTCGGGCTAAGCACCTTCAGGCTGCCTCTTTCGGATGAATGAAGATGATTGTTATTCTGCCTCGGAGGCACTTAGCGGTGTGGCAAACTCTGTGCCGCGCGCAGACAACCGGGGCTATTGTGGGGACAGACAGGGGTCGGGGCGAGCGGCCAGCCGGCCGTGACTACCTGTCAGGATCAGATGTCACGCACGCGGGGGAAAAGGTGGCATAGTCGAACATTATCGATACCAAAGTATATTTATATCCATTCCTTTCGCCCTCGTGAATCGTTTCACAAGTATGCTTATGAATAAATGGATGTTTGTTTCCCAACACAGGCATGTTCCAACAAGCGACCCCTGTCCACCGGTCCTCAGTTGACGTACACAAGTGTGTGCGTGCGCGCGCTCGGCCGGAGCGGGGATATTGTTGTTGCCGGTTGCTAAGGTTCCCCAGACGCTGCCGGAAGATAGAATATTCCATGACCGGAACGTGCCGGCCCGACGCCGGTCACGATCGCTCCTGACAACGATCACGGAGTTAGGACTTGGGTTCCCCCGCGGGCGGCGGTGAGGCGCCCCTGGGCTCATCTCACCTGGCACGGGCGGCTCTGCCCCGCGGGCGTCGCTCGGCTCGGGATTCCTAGGTCGGGCTTTGCTAACCATCGATTTTGCTGATGTCGGAGAGATGGCTCGAAGAAATCTCC